TGTTATAAATGTTGATAAATCTGCATGGGTTGCCGCAAGACCTTTTTTTTTTTAAGAAACGGAATCAGAACTTGTAATCGTAGCAACAGCAGAAGCAGTTGTATTAGCAGCAGTAAGAGCAGCAGCAGTAGCATTGCAGAACTGCAACAGTAGTTTTTGTTTTAAAATTAGTAGAATGGAATGAGTAATGACTGACTGACTTTCTACCCCACAGGACATCACACAAGCGATAAACACCCGATGACACAATGTGCCACCATGTGGATGCGGATCCCCGTGGAGAGGTCCCAGAAACCGCGTTCAGCCATTAGGCCATATTTATGGCCGGGCTATATTGCAGCCCCTGGCAATATCCAGATAAGGGCTTCAAAAAACGAAAAATTTCATCCCTAAAAAGACGGGAAGTAGCTATTAGGGAAAAGTAATAATGGTAGCAATGGTTATATACAGCTGTACCCCGTCTGGACGTCAGGTTACTTTGTAACTGTCGGGGGCCTTAATATAATCTAACAGTTGAACGGGGTTCCTCGGATTTGTACCTGAGAGATTTTTATCAAAAGTAGTGACACATTGCACCACATGGTGTAATCCTAGTGGGGTTAATTTTCGGTCAGTCAGTAGCAGTAGTAATAGTGGTGGTGGCAACACTGCACTAAAAGCAAAATATAAAGGGAAAGAAACAAAATTATGAAACAGGCGTGCACAGATGGATCATAACAAACTATTTTTGAATTTGGAAATAAGGCATGCAACTAAGGACTGGAATTATCTCAAAGGTTAATAAATACCATGTAGTTTCAACAACTTGATGATGATGATGATGATGCATCATTCTTTTTTATATACATTTGTATGAATTTCTATGTGAAATTAGATTAATTAAACTTTATGTCTTTTTAAACATAACATCACTGCACAATTGTGTACACATTATTTAAAATATTTAAAAATACTTTTGAAACAAATCTATTCCTAGTTTTAGACACGACACTAACTCCTTAAACCTCATTTGTAAAAATACAATCAGATCTTTATTATGAAAATATATTCATGTCCAGCAAATAAACAAGTAATGAATACAATTAATACAAAACTAATATTTATGGAATTCACATTAGCCAAAATTCCACAAACTGATTCATAATTACACCAACTTAATTCATGTATTGTATTGCATGTTCTAATCCACTAAGCGTAGCATCTCAAAAAAAAACATCCTAGATGTGCTGCTGTCAGTGTTTTGTTTTCTTAAAGGATGAGAAGAGAAGCATTAGAGAACATTGCGATTATTAAAAAGATCAATGGTAGAAGAGGTAAGGGTAGACAAAGAGATACAATGCTTGCTGACCTGAAGCAATGGTATGGGGGAATACAATCAGTGGAACGGATTCAAAATTCCAAGGACTGAGATCTGTGGAGAGACATGAGCACCTACATTGCTAGGCAGGGCACAAGGTGGGAACGAAAGTATGCTGCAAAAGACATGAGAACATCATAAGACACACTGGCCAAGACCTTCGAGTACCCCACCATCTGCACTTGCATTCATAATCCCAGGGTTTCTTTAGTGTGGTAGTGAGACTGTTTGGCTCATACACATCAGCAGGGGCGCGGACACAAAGAAAACATGAGGTAGTGGAGGACTCAAGGTTCCAGCACCTCTACTCAGAATGGGCTCAGTTTTGGGCTGGTCCTAAGGTTTGTTAGTCAAAGTTTTTTAGCGATCCCTTGGGGCCATGATCCAACTACAAAATATTTGTGTGTCTGTGTGTGTGTGTGAGAGAGAGAAAGACTCTCAGTTGGCAACCAGCCTGCAGAGAGAGAGAGACTGAGCCTTGTGGGGTGAAACTCAGTGTGAGAAAGTCGATCCTCTTGCCTCTGACCATCCTTCAAGGGAGTGCAGATGGATTCTCCAGTGCTCGTTTAGCATCTGTCAAAGGTTCTTGAGCTTGCAGAAAAGAAATAGGGCTCTGTAATAAACTTCCTGCAGATATGGCACTTTGATATCATGCTGAAAGGAGTCTTTACACCACTATGTCCAACAGATAAAAGCTTGAATAGATACAGGCTGTATTTCAAGGTTCAGGTTATGTGAATGTCAGGACATCACCTCAAAAGTTAGTCTTTCAGGATTTTCAAAAGATACCAATTATAAAAGGTAAGAATCATCACATAATAGGACATTAGATTCAGGTTTAACTCTATGAGTCCCAAGGAACGCATCATACGTTCATATGTTCCTAATTTGAGGCCCAATAAACACAAGATGTGCCGATTGTACATCTCTCTTTACTACCCCATGGGCCTCTGATGCAAAACCCCCTGGGACTCAAAGAGTTAAACAATGGATCAACATCATGGCACAAGGTTAGTAGTATCCATAGGTGCTCCGATTCTACTTCTAACTTAAGTCTGAGTCCTAAGAATCTCAGCGCAGTGCACAAACTCTGTAGCACCATCAAGGATCCTGAAATACTTTGGGTAGATTTTTTGCTCCATATTTTTGCCCAGGCAGTGCCATACCAGGGGAAATTAATAGAAGTCCATGTGAAAAAATGTCACCCTTCACCGGGGTTGAACCCGGAACCTCCAGCACTCAAGGCGGACGAGACCAAGCAGCCCCATTTGCAACAGCAATAAATTATATGCTGGTAGTAATTTTTTTCTTACAGATTAAAATATAATTATTCATTTATAAAAACATTCATACATATGAAATAAATATAGAGGCCATTGTGTTAATTATGTTTTTACATGTAGTAAAATAAAGAAATATCTACTGGCCATGTCCCAAACTGAGAGAAACTAGGGCAAATATTTTAATAACTGATATTACATGTAAGAGACAAATGGAAAGTAGAGAGAAAGAGAAAGAGAGAGATAAAGAGAGAGAGAAAGAGAGAGAGAGACAGAGAGAGAGAGAAACAGAGACAGATAGAGAGACAAAAAAGAGAGAAAGAGAGAGAAAGAGAGAGAGAGATCATTTGGATCTGATCAGTCACATCTAAGCATGGAAAGACATCAGCATGTCAGTTGAAAAACATGTTACACAGCAGGATTTGATATTTTCACTCCTTACACACTCCATATGTTTTCTTCCTTACACACTACATGACATGTTTTATTCTTTAACGCTTGCATACGTTTTTACTCCTCACAGACTTCATGGATTTTTTTTCTTTCTTACGAACTACATATGTTTTTCCTCCACATACATTACATATATTATCCCCTCTTTGCAGACTATATAATATATTTGTCATGGTTATTCATTTTATAATATGTTTTTCCTGGTTACCCACATTTTTATTTCCTGGCTACTAACTACATTATATATTTTCCTGTTTACATTACATAAAATATTTTTCCTTACTTTTCATATCTCCCATTTACTTTCGCATAACCCACTTTGTCCCAGGTGTTATATTAATGTCTTTCTTGCCGTTATTATTTTAATTTTTTTAACTGGACAGATATGCTGGTAAACAACATCAGAAAGTGAACTTGTAAAAAGTCTATGAATTTACTATAAATGTGCAAATGAGCAACATCAGAAGATAGCCTGGGGAAAAAACCTGGCTAGCAACATATCCCAATATACCTCAAGGTGAAATATTAACTTTCTCTCATTAACATTGCCGTTATAGACTATTTTAATTTCAAGTCAATTTAACTAAGGACAATATTCTTACACATGCTGGTAAACCAAAAATACGTTTAAATGCCTGACTCATTAGGAGAACCGACTGTCCACATCAGAAAGAAACAATCTAAATTCTTTGGTCGTGTGATGAGAAGGAAGAAACAGTAGTAAATTGTGACAGTAGGAAAGTTGGAGGGAAAGAGAGGCAGAGGGACACCAAGAGAAAAGATGCTGGACAGTTTGACATCATGGCATGGAAGATCATCTGTGTCAGAGTTGACTGAAAGTATACGAGACAGAAATTTGTGGATGGACATGACTATAAATGACTATAAATGCCATGTGGCATGGACTTTAGAAAGAAGAAGATTTTATACACAAATTTCAGTTTAACATAATAATTAGTGTTTACATCTTTGTTACATAGTTTGGCAATAAATAGCACATCAAGAGCACATTATGAGCCATATTTAAGTGACCATTATATTCATCATTATAATTCCACAGACAGTGTATACAAAACACTGATGCCATTACTGTCAAACCATTATTTTTTAATTGTGCAGTTTTCAAAATAAAGGTTGTCTGCAATATATTCACGACTATCAAAATATCACCTGGTGATTCCCCAGTCTTTTCCATAGTGCAACTCTCGTTCCACTGTCTGAAATCCATGAGAATGATATTTTTCTAAACCACTCACTGCAGGAATCAAACCCAGTAAACAATGAGTGGAACTGATGTAACTTATAAGCCATAGAGCTGAATCAAATCACTTATAAGAGATGAGTCCCATCTCTTGTCTGCACTTGAATTCAATGAATAAATAATTATTTTTATAGTTTATGCCAGTTGGCACTAAATATCATATCTGTTGATAGTCGTCCATATTTTATATTGCCAGTTTTAAAATAACATCATATAATCATAATCAATCAATAGATCTTTTACAGACCATCTCTCTCATCACAGCATGACAGAAAGTCTCTCTTTCTCTATCTAGTTTTCCAGCCCTATGTGCTTGCACAGTCAGTGCATCTTCAATGTCTTGTATCCACATTCACCTTCTGCCTCTGCTACGTTTTCAGGAAACTGTACCCACTATCCGCATTCTCTCAAGGAAAATCTGGCCATAATATTTCAGCTTTCAAATAATTCAAACATTTTCAATTAAAAACAATAAATAATATGAAACAGCTAGAAAATTTAAAAGTTTGGAAAGGTAAAAAAAAAAAAATATGTTGTTAAAATATTACTAGTAAAAGTGTGGAAATGTGGCAAAAATATGCCTTACAAAAATCACAACCTAAACTCTGCCAAATATTTCGAGGAATGAAGTATGTTGGTGTAAAGGTTACTAATCACATAAACAACAACACAACAAGGCACTGCATAAAGCAATGATACAACATGTCTCCGCAGAAGTGTCTCGGGCCCTGCGTCTTTCTTTCACATACACTCTGTGGAAAGTCAAATGTTGGAAATAAGACACTATAATTTACACTACTACACTACTGTAATTAAATATGTGTATTACGTCAAGTCTCAAGCACATGTAACTATTATTTTAGAATATCACTGCTATATACCAGTGTTTTAGTGACTGATCTTAGCTATAATGGTGTTAACTATTGAAAAAAGAGAATTTCTGGCTGAGCATTCATGTGTTCTTCAATGGTAGGAGTTATTCAGAAGTGGTTGTTCAACTATTTATGTCATTTCCTGATAGTCAAGTCCCTTATCTTAATCCTGTTAGCAATTTAACCAGTAAAAACGATTGTGAATAGAGCTTCGATGTGTTAAACAAAATAAGACATACCATAGCAGTATCTTCTTCTTCTTCTTCTTCACTTCCTCTTATACCGCTGTAGGTGTCGAGGGAGATATAAGGTTCTGTTTCTAGCTTTTCTGGCCGCCTTGAACATAGGCACATCGTGCTGTTGTAGAGTTTCTCTGATGTTATCTTTCCATTTTGTTCTTGGTCTACCTCGTGCTCTACGTCCTTCTTCTCTTTCCATGTATGCTTTGTATGGTATGGTGTCACAAGGCATTCTCTCTAAGTGGGCAAACCATTTCACTTGCTGTTTATTTGTATGTCCATAGCAGTATCAGTTGCAATAAATAACTCCACAGAATACAAAAATAGGAATGCCAATATTTTCAAAAAATATGATTATTAAAAATAAACCCTGCATTTCTACAGGTCAGTTCTGGTCACATGTGTGTTGATATATTTTGCATTTATAAACTATTTTGAAAAAACTTCAAATTACTGTTATTTGTTCCTAACAATTTAAACAAATATCTACAATGTGTTTTATATATTTTCAATACTCTGTTCTGGTATATTTGGATCTCAGTATTTTCCAGTTTAATGATACTTTGTACTCACAGCCATATGCTGATAATACCAAGCTCTTGAGCTTTTGTAGATATGCAACTCAATCTTTTTTTGTAAAACGACTGCAGCTGAATTTTTATGAACATGTTTAGAAAAACTAGTAGAGAGCATCTAAAGATGCTGGGCAGTTTGACTCATTGCATGGAAGATTATCTGTGCCAGAATTAACTGAAAGTGCACAAAACAGGATGCTGTCAATAGACATGAATACCAGTTTCACATTTGCAAATTGTCTATGGGTTTGGGACTCAGCCCCTAAGAGCTACTGAGAATTCAGATTATGTATTGACAGATCGTCACTTACATGCCTCTTCACGGAGACTCTAATATTGTTTAGTTTGCTGGGAAAGTGAATTTGTATGAAAATGTTTTGAAAAACTAGAATTAGCTAAACAAAGTCTTTTTGTTTTTGGAGTTTAACGTGATGATTGGATAACTTTATGATTTGTTTTAAATTAATTTAGTGTGATACAATTTTATGTGATTTTTTCCAGATCGAACAGTGAGGAAATTGTCTAGAATAGTTTATACTGCTATGTTGTTGATGAACCTCAGCCAGATAGTAACAACAATCTTGACATTATGATTGATAATGCAAGTCCCAAACCTATTGTAATACTTGTTAGAATGAAGTTGAACAAAATTTTTCAGTCAGATCATCCTTGTTTTGATCAGCTGTGTTCAGAATTGGATTGTGAAATTTGACATGTCATACCAAATTGGTCATAAAATCCAAAGTATTCATAAATTAATTGTTTTTAAAAAAAGATAAGCTGGTGCATTATTGAACATAGGAGGTATGTGAATTCTTAGTGACTTAAAAACTGATAGCAGTGTTGTTGAACAAATTTAAAAAAAAGGTAAGCACATTTCATGTTTAAATAATCTTCATATGTGTCTAACTTCTATGAGTGTTCTGTGATTTTAATAATTTTGTTGCTGTTATTGTAGTACTTTTATAGTTTAGATTTATTCTGTAATCAGTTCTCTTTAATTTGACATATATGTCCCTATACAGCCAATACTTTTTCTTCAGGAAGGTTTTAGCTTTGTGTTATTGTAGTTAAAAAAAAAAGCATTTCAGCTCAAAATTAATGCTGTTGTCCAAATCCCAGAAAAAATGTCATCTTGAAAGAGTTAGGACTTATATGGATTTGAATCAATTACAGTAAAACAAACATGAGCACAAATAAGTCCGTTAAACTGAAACATACACTTGTTGAGCATGTGGCTGCTGCTGATACACTCCTGGATTGGCATAGCCACCATACTGGTGTTGTGGGTGGCCTCCAGGAGGCGGGTACTGTTGACCATAACCACTGTAGCCTTGAGGAGGAGGTGGTGGAGGGTAGCTTTGTTGAGGCTGAGGGTAGCCAGGTTGAGGGTAGCCAGGCTGAGGAGGTGGTGCCCCATAGTAACCAGGAGGGGGTTGTGGAGGGTAAGCACTGTCATATGGTGGGGGTGGGGCATTTGGTTGGTTATTGGGGTATACAGTTGTCATCATTTCTGAAAAATAAAATATAAAACCAATCTTGTATTTAACTGAGTAAGTATGAAACAACCTTCCTTGTCTGCTCTTAACACCAAATTAAGCATAGGTGAGACGGAGGAAATTGGAGTACATTGTGATGGTAAATGTTGGACAGGCAGAGTTGTATAGGAAAACCACAAGAAAAGATGCTGGGCAGTTTTACATCATCTATGGAAGATCATCAGAATATGGTTGCATTTCTCCACATGCTACCTCCCTGTCTTTATCTTCTTCTGCTGCTTTTTTTTCTCCTCACATGTTAGCCCTTCAAAAGGCAGTTCACACTCAGTGTTATAGTTTCCAGCTAGGCTACGTTATCTTCACCAACATCTCTGATGTCGGCTAACAACTAATTAGTCATCTTTTATGCCATTCTTGTTGAATAAATTGTCTATTCCCCCCCCCCCCCACCCACAGCAAAGTGGGATCTCAGAACCCACAAAGTGACTCCACATCTTACAATCTCTAGTCATCAGCAACGTATATCAGTTTATTTTCTGATATATTTTCATGCCATGACAAATGACTGTGAATCATTTGCCTTCACTGTTTTTCTCTCTCTCTCTCTCTCCTTCCATAAATCATTCAAGTTGCCACAATGCGGTCCTGTTTTTATCATAAATTTACTGCCTACTTCTGATGTCTGTGGTTTTATTAGTGTCTTAGCCTCTTTTAAACCATTTGAATTATTCATTCTGGCTATCCAAGTAATTTTAAATAAATAAATAGTTAGTTGTGTATACTTTACAGGACGTTGCATAACCAACCCCAGCATTTTTTGGCTGTTGTGATTTTTCAAGGCAAATTTACGCCCAGTAGTTTGCCATTGCTTTTTGGACGGCCGACTTCCTGATACCACTGACAAAACCAACATAAGGAGCAAGGCCTGCAGCTAGGTTCAAACCAGCATTACAAAGCGCGATCGCAACACCTATGCCACAGACAGCGACTGTAATTTTAAGCATTCTATAAAACCACATATCTGAAACTTTAAAGCACTGTTTGAGTTTTGTACCAATTGTCCAGAATTCAATTGGTTTAAAGTAACTTATATTAGTTACTTGTCTACTATAACAGTCGGCTCTGTGGCTAAGTCCATGCGAATGCCCGGATGCCGGGTTCGATTCCAGCTGCAGGCCATGGGCCTTGCGTTAGTTTCGACAGTGGTATCCAGAAAGCTAACCGTCCAGAAAGCAATGGCAAACTACTGGACGTAAATTTGCCTAGAAAAACCACACAACAGCCAGGGGTTGTTGAGATTGGTTCTGCAACAGATACGCAACTAACCTACCTTAACAATTGTTATGATTTATATGTGTTATATTTTTGCTACTTTAGATGCAAAAACATAAATTTAAGATAATAACTGTATAGGATATATAATAATTCAGCATGACTGGTGACACAATGTATAACAACTCAAATTTGTATTACCTCAACTTTTCAATGGTCATTCTGTTAACCCCCACCCCCCCCCCCCCCCCCCCCCCCCCCTTTTTTTTTTTAAACATTCTTTCTGAAAAAAATTTAATATTTAAAATATACACTGATTATTATTTGAAAACAGAAAACCCCAAATGTATATGTTAGTATATATACTATACATTGAACTGGCTGGTATTACTCAAATGTTTAACGATTCTCTTGGAGCTAAAGGTGTCCAGTGTGTTGTTGACCATATCATCCATGGAGTACCGATTGGTCTATGCAAAATATGAGTCTAAAATTGCCAAGTGTAAAAAAGTGTAAGTAAAGGACCCTTTACCGTGCCTTTAGGCGTATAGGGCATATAGGGCTAGATCTATATTTTTATAGACCAATCAGCACAAGATGGGTGAAACAGGTCTAGTCCTATATGCCCTATACATCTAAAGGTATATAAATTGGTCCTTTACTTTACTTTCGAGATTCAAAAAGTGCCTACAGTATACTGCTGAACTGAGAACTGAAGAAACTGTTTGGCACTCTTAGAAATGAAACAAATAAGAGCTCAGATTACATTCAGAATGTTCACACAATGCAAACTAAAATACAACAACTCAGATTGCTTCTTCTAATATTTCCAAAGACAGATAATAATATTTAAATTTCACATTATTTGACATTTGTACTTAAATATACTTAACATGTATAATCAGCTATAATATACTATATAGTATCATAAGCTGTTATAATTAACACATAATCTATGCAATATAAAATAACTGAAATTAACTGACTAGTGAGTGACTTGTTGATAAACATACAATAAAAGAAAATACAATAGCATTTTAAGCATATAATCCAGGTAGTATAGACTGTTTGGCTGAATGGTTAAACAGGATAACGTTGATTAAATGGCTTATGTGACTCTTGAACATTACAGACAATTTTTTTAACAAACAGATTTTCCTAATAAATATAAAGTTTAAATTTTCTCACGCCATTTTTAGTTATGTTAAATGTCTACAGCTGTAGCCACACTTTAAATTAAACTTTCACTTTTCGAACACTTTAAAACTGGAAACAAATTTTATCTTCAGCTTGCAGTGTTGACGTGTAGCTGGTCAACTAATTTATAGAATATTAAAGAAAGAACAAAAATAAAGAAAAGTAAGATTACCTTTTCAAGTTTAAGCGTCTCAATGCTACTAGAAACACTGACTGTTTGACATATTCTCGGCAGACGGGTCTTGTTTAATGGGGATGATCTATATTTAACACATGAGTCAGTTGGTTCTTGAGACTGTTTCACAACATTAACTAGGCCAGCTACAACGAGGTCAAGTCCGATATGTTGAGGTTCAACAATTTTGTAAGTAAGACCTGAGTTAGAGGCGGAACTCTCTCACTTGAGACTGGCGTGCTTTGCTCTTTAAGCGACATGCAAACGACGGCGACACCAGGAGAAAACACTTAGATTGCGTAGAAATAATTTCTTTTTAGGACCCATGCCTTATGACGTTGTTAGTCACGTCTATCCAGAGCCTTCTGTCTCGTGCGTTTTCGATCATTTCTGACACATATCGTCACACTGTCTATCATTTTCTTTCTTGGTCTCCCTCTGCCCCTTCCTACTCTAACATTGTTTAACCACTCAGTGCATTTGTTGGTGAATGAGAACCAGCTGCACACAAATGTAATGATTGTAGCTGATTCACAGGGCATGCTGAGAATGGCAAAGGCAAGCATGCTCCAGGCAGAGTGACAAGCATCGCTTCAAAGGTCCATGGCAGTTAGTGTCATTGTGATATTTTCTTCAGGAATGCAGGTGTGTTGGAGATGAACAGTCACATAGCATTGCTGGTTCTGCACCACCCAGCGGTAAATTGATGTATGACAAGCTAGAAACTGTAAGAACCCTTTGGAAGCGAGTAAACAGTGCGCAGGCATATATATATATATATATATATATATATATATATATATATATATATATATATATATATATATATATATATATATATATATATATATATATATATATATATAATCACAGTCTGAATAAAATGCTGCATCGAGAAGTGACCAGGGGATCTGACGCTCAGAGTAAAGGTGAGAACGACATACGATCAGACTGTTACTGATACCATCGGAACCGGATCTCTGCACTTGCTGCTGAAGATGGGGACGGGGCACTTATGGGAATGCCCAGAGGGCTGTGATGTCGGTTCTTTACTCATAACTGTATAAAAGTGATACTATGGCGTCCTGCGATTATGCAGTAACCTCTGTCCAGTTGTGGATTGTACCGTCTGGCTTACATGTGACATATGTGTAAATTATCACTCCATCATAATCATGGTAATCACCATCAGGTGCATGCCGGGCTATTGATGTGATTGTGTTTCTTCAACATCGTCCATCTGTGTGTTTGATAAATTCCATTGCAGTTTCCGGTGCTGCTTTTTATATTTTTAATAGATGAGACACAATGAGAATCCCAGCACAGTGCAGACACTCTATAGCACCGGGCAGGACCGCACAACGTGTCAGCCAGAATCACATGTGCATTAAATATTTTTCTGAGTGCACCTTCTCTTTGGTAACTCTAAATCCTTACCTGGACAGACAGGAATGTGTAACTAATTTTAACGTCCTTGGAGGTTGATTAGGGATGGGGATTTTGTCCTGTTGAATTGTCATCCCGTTTTTAAGTCGTAGTAGTGGTCAGACCTTCAAATAGCAGCTTGGACGGGGAAAACAGTCAACTAAATTTTGGTTTTCCAAGATTATTTTTACATGTCGAACGTTCGCACGATTTTTAACGTTTCTAGATGTCTGATCTACTACCCCATGAGTTATAAGGTAAGTTATCTTCATGGCACTCCGGACATGTCCATAGGTGCTCAGACATCCACCCAACAAAATACTAAATGGCCAAAATATTTCAGTTTCTGAGACAAGATGCTGTTTACCAGCCAATCCTCCTTTTATATTCAGATCTCTTATGTTATCAGTATTTCTTTTTTTCTTGGTCCATACTACTATAATAATCCTTTTATAGCATGTTAGCTCCAAAGTTTTTTTGTTTTTTTTAATCATTGTTCCAAATGATAACAAAGTAAACAGTAAGAGATAAGAGAACTTTATTCTCATTTGGAACAGTGATATCATAGTAGTTAGAATATTTTTTGTCGGCCGGAAGGTCTTGAATTCAAATGCGCAAGACGTCATTTTCATCAAATGACACTGGCTCCCAGATCGACAGTCTTGGGTACCAGGAACATGTGAAATGAAAAGTGCGCCTGTACCTGCATAGAAACTGCAGGTTATGCTGTGTGTAGCTGTTACGGGTGACCTAACTGGAGGTTGAGAGGGGTATCTGGCATCTGCATTGTTGGCCTGTTATCCATCCTGAGATTTATTAAACATCAGAGTGGTAAACCTCCAGGCAGCAGTCTGGATTGAACACACCGATCGAGATGTTGACAACACCACACACCGAAGACGTTGACAACACCACATACCGAAGATTTTAACAACACCACCTA